ATAAAATTGTTTGCTCATTACCTTACTCAATGGACTTTCCATACGTTTAAGGTGTGCATTTATCATCGCTTGAAGTAGGAATGGACTTGATGTAGCACCAAATAATACGCTCCTAAAGCGAAAGGTTTTCAGAGGGCTACGTGGATCACTAGGATTCTCAGGCCATAAGAAGCGGGTACAATCCCGGTCAGCCTCTTGTAAACCCACTCTTAGGAAAGCTTTACTTATGTCAGTCGTAAAGGCATAGTGCTTCACGCTGAAATTTAATAAGATATCTCCTAATTTTTCCGTCAACGACAGACCTGTCATCAAACAGTCATTTAAACTAGGTACATTTTTGTTACTCCTGGCACTACAATTAAACACAATCCTCAAAGGAGTGGTCTTAGAATCCTTCTTCACTCCGTGATGAGGCAAATAGTGACCATAAATTTTGGCTTGCTCAGGAGGTACCTCTTCTATAAATTTATTAATTAACTGCTCAGCAATTATATCATTATAGGCAGTTAACAATTCTGGTGTCTTACTCAGTTCGCGGAGCTGAGCTTTTAATTGTCCATATGCTATTCTGTAATTAGTGGGCAATTCTGGATGGTTCAGTCTCCACGGAAGTCGTACCCAGTATTGTCCAGATTCAAATTTTACATCTCTCAGGTATTGCTCCTGAGTAAAAGAATCGTCTGGACTTTCTTCATTTACATTTATTCCAATGCTGTCTAATTCCCACAATTTATGCACTGGCTCAACACCATTCTCTATGGAAGAATTATACTGGGGTACAACTTCATGAGTAAGACACACAGCTATGGTATTTGTAGTTTCCTCTAGTCATGAATTATTATTACGAGGAATCCTACCATACATTACATGGCCTCCAGCAGTCTTCAAAAGGGTGACACCACATTTCTTTACCATACCCTTTACAAAGGAGGCATAATAGTCACTACCTATCAAAATATTTATTGGGCCTACAGAATCATCACTTACACCAGAAGGTGCTAAATTTACATTATGCGAAAGTCTTTCTGTAGTTTTACTAAGCCCTACTGTAGATAATTTCTCTGGAAGTCTATCTACAATTACTGCATTAACACGTTTTTTCTCATTGCCCAACCTGACAGTTACATAAACAGTGTCATACAATTGAGCCCTTTTATCCGAGAGAAAACCAGATAATTTTAAAGTTGTGGGATCTCCCATCTGTACTTTCATACCATCAAGACATTTAAGTTTAATGAAAGTACGCTGGGATCCCTGGTCTAATAATGCAGTTACATTTTTTGATTTATGCCTTTTATCATCAATTTTTACCTGTAACACAGGTAAGGCTACTTCAGCAAAACCATTATTATTAACATTAGCAGCAATTTTTACATTAGCTACTGTTGTTTCAGGGTTGTCAACATTATCATTATTATCAACATTATCATATAGACCCTTACACACGACTATATGGTGTCTTCCTTTGTGACATTGATAACAGTTGTTTAATTTAGCATGACAATCCTTTACATTGTGATTACCTAAACACCTGATACATCTGTCAAGTTCCTCCAATCTTTCAACTTTATCATTCCATGAATTGTATGCATTGCAATTCTTAGAAAAATGAGTACCCTTGCAGAAAAGACAATCTCTCCTTTCTTTGACTGGTTTCTTATTAACTGGGCTACTCTTAGGAGGGGACTTATTCTTCTTACCTTGTGGAGAATCATTATTTCTGATTCCTGCTCCTTGATATGCCCCTATGTAACTCCTTTTAGGAAATGAATTTTGATTATTAACATTAGGATAATTTTTCCCTTTATGTAACTTGGCAGACACCTCAGAGTTATTATGTGTTGCATCTTTAAAATGAGTTAGTTGGCTGGTCTGCAACTGCACAATTACTTCTTGTAGACCTAGTCTTATTTCCTCCAGACCAAAATAACCCTTGTGATATTTGTTTGAGAGCCATTCAAGTGTTTTACAGCTTAATTTATTCTGTACTATGGCACTCAATAACCAGTCTGATTCCTTCAGATTATATTTATTACTTAAAGTTTTGAGAGTGTTCTCCAGTTTAACTCTAAACTGCTGTAAACCTTTGTAAGTGTGATCTGGAGATTTTAAATTAACAATGATATTCACTAGATCCAACCTACTTTGTTCTATATTGCCATAAGTGACTTTCAACAAGTCAACTGCTTCCTTGTAAGAGTCATGTACATTGGGAAAGGCTTGTATCAGTATATAAGCATCTCCTCTTTCCTGTCCTTTGAGGTAAAATAATTTAGTTACACAGGCTAGGTCACTCCTGTCATGCACAGCTGCTTTAAAAATTGACCAAAATTCCTCCCAATTTTCTCCAGGATTAAATACAGGTAAACATAGTTCTGGGAGTTTTGGCAAAGACATATTATTTGTTGGAGCAGACTGACCAACTGCCTTTTTTACACATTTTAATTTATTCAAGGCCTGACTTTTACAATAAAGAATCTTTTCCTCTAATTCATAATACTGATTAATCATGAGATCTATTTCAGTCTCATCTACACAGTTTACTAACAAATCTCCTTCATATTTGTTGTAATATAATTTGTATGAATCATATCTATTCCCTAAAGCATCTAAATACAATTTTAAATCATCAGTATTCACAGTTTCTTGATTAATTAATTCCAAGCACTTATTATATACCTTGGTTACATGAACTTTTTTAGCCTGTATTGATGTTTTCTTTACTCTATATTCCATATGTTTGTCTTCTACATTAATTTCCTCATTTTCAGCCATGATGCAATGTATTAAATTCAACTTAATAACACTGATTATGTACTAAATTATGTACTTTATAAAGGTAAATAGTACAACTTACCTTTAAATAAATTCTAGCTACTTGAGCTTAGCAATTACATGTAAGAAAATTATATAAATTTTAAATGTACATTAATACAAACCTTTTGCCAGCCTTGGCTTATCAAAATTAATATTATACAATTAATATAAATCCTTGCCAGAATTTGGCATAGCAAAATTAATATTATACACAATATAATTAGCTACACTTGGCTTATCAATTACACATACACTGATATAAATCTTGGCCAGAATTGTCTATCAAATTAATATTGTAATAATTATAATCCACTACACATTAAGCAAAATTAATATTATACACATTAATATAATTAGTTACACTTGGCTTATCAATTACACATACACTTATACACATTAGTATAATCTTTAGCCACACTTGACTTATCCAATTTAATATTGTAATAATTATAATCCACTACACATTAAGTAAATCTGTGAACTTAACATCCACCTCCTTCTGTCATTTCACATATAATTATTAAGTAATTAACTAATTAATTACTTTACTAATTACATCCGGTTCGAAGGACCAACCGGCAAATTAAATGTGGAAAATTGCATTTACTTGGATGTATAATTATGTACATAACAGTAAATGAACAATAACTATTATTTATCAATTAGACAGGTAGGAATTTGGGACATCTAGGTCGCAAAAAATGTCCCCCTTCGATACCTACCACTGTCATATCCATAAGTTGCTCTGGACCTATTAATTAAATGAAATATACATACACCAGGAATGCTGGTAAATATGTAAATTTGTGGACTGTATATTAAAAATAATAAATGGTTATATATATACACAATTACATAACAGAAGGAAAATATATCTTAATATCACTCACCAATTTGACTGGAGATTAATGTGTCATGTACAGGACCCCCCCCCTTTTGCCTACATTTATGAAAATTTTATTGGCCAGAAATTAAACATAAATTAGACAGCTTATCTGAGGTTCCTGGAGTTGTCCTGTCCTGTCGCCTTATATCTCAAGTTATGCAGGAATGCACATCCAACAATTTCGCCTCCTATTTGAGAGGTGTCAGCCCAATTTTAACCTCTAGAGCACGAAAATTCCTTCCCATTACACTAATGTTGTATCCAATTCAAAAACCAAAATGGCGACCCACCTCCCCAGCCGCAGGTTTCCCATTTTCGATAACATACTTCTTTTAAAAATACAATATAGGGCATCTATTTACCTATAAATTACCGTATTTCCGGAAAATATATTCAGTATTTTCCACAAGTATGTTTATGGAGCAACTTGCGATGTGAACAGACTGACTGATGTTGTAGTGGCCAGGATTAGGCTTGGTTACAAGTACTTCTGGCAGTTTGGGAGACACACAGATGATGATCAAACTAAATGCAAATTATGTGGTCAGGCATATGGTCGCTGTCTTGAACACTATGTGCTTAATTGTCCACTTATTGAGGAATATACGTAGAGACAGACAGTATAATAACCTATGTGACATGTCAAGATTTATTAATGAAAATAAGATACCAGATGTACTAAGCAAATTTCCTAAATTTGCTTGTAACACATAAGTGAACTGTAGATATAAATACATATATATTCCTGTTAACCCTTTTGGGGCCTATTTCCTAGGCCTTTTGCGTATCCATATGTTCTTGCGTTACCCTCCACAGGATGGATATGACCTGCACAATAAACTAGCCATATCGGTGGCAAAATCTAAAATTTAATCAAGGAACTATAAAAAATGTATGTCTCATGACGTATATATGATGAGTGTATTTTAATTCCTATTTTAGGGAATAAAATAGTCTTGACATGCAACCTAAATAACTCTTATGTAGTCGATAGGCTTTAAACCTTATTTTTATATATGAAGTGGAACGAACTTAAATACTTTACATTCCTTCTTCTTATTCTTCTTACCTGAGATGCAGTTTACTTCCTCGTATTACATTCGTGTAATTCATGATAAATTTAAAATGTGATGAATTATCCGCGAGACCGAGTCAGAATATATTCTACCATGTGTTTCAACCACTTGAAAAGTGTCCATTGTTTTGTATTATATTCGGTAATCACATGAGAAATTCGTATTACTGATCATTATTTTAATTCAGCCTATCATGATAATTGTAAGTTGTGTCATGGTAGGTGTTGATGCTGGCGCTGCTGGTGGGCGTAGCGAGCTGCCATCACTTACAACGCAGAGGAGACCAGGAAGACGACCAAGAACATTTCCAGTAAGTATGTGAATTGTAACTTTGCTTACCGCCATCAAGAGCATCGATTATAGTGGGCACCTGCAGGTTATCTCAGATGTTCCTATATAATTATTCGTCATGGAAAAAAATCACATTGCAAATGTTGTAATCAAATAATCTGCCAAAGACCCGCTGACATGAGGTGCAGGAGGCACTGGTGTCTGTCATCACAGCTTCGCATTTCTGGGAGCTGCATAAACTATCATGTTCTTGGAAGTCTGTTTAAGAGGCTATCCAGAACAGGTTTGTATAACCGTCTTAATTCGTGTATATCCGTGTCTAGCTTGAGAAACAAGTACGTTCCAATGTGATCCAAAACTTTTTGTAGTTAGTATAAAGCACAGGGATTATTATTATTATTATTATTATTATTATTATCAACACTAAGCTCTAAACTCTCCAAGGTCATACATCGTTGGTAAAACAGAGGGAGACATGGATAACTCAAGTAACTATGGTTGTATCTATTATAAACATTCTGACAACGAGTGTCTGAGGACATGATAATACCGTCCTCTCCAGGAGTGGCAGCTCTCTTGTCCCTGGTCAGGACAGCATCAAGTTTATATTCATAGTATGGGACATCAGTCATTAAGTTACTTATTAAATATAAATATTTTTTTCCCTCAGATTTTATGCGCAAAATCTCCCACGTCTTAAGAAAAAACATGTTATGATACATAAAAATCTGCCTACTTTTTAATTAATTCACTGACTTCGTGCTGCTGCTGCTGCTGCTGCTGCTGCTGCTGCTGCTGCTGCTGCAAGAAGTGGCGAACTTAGTCAACTTAAGGAGTGTGCTTAATTAGCTGTTTTTTTTTTTTACACAAGTCAGTTTTGTAGCAGAGCTGTTTTCTACCTCAGCTCATTTCAAATCCCAGCCCTGAGGTAACTACCTCCCCCCCCCCCAGTGTGCTAACTTGGTCAGCTTAAGGAACTGGAGTTACCTGGAGTTTACCTGGAGAGAGTTCCGGGGGTCAACGCCCCCGTGGCCCGGTTTGTGACCAGGCCTCCTGTGGAAATGTTTTACATAATTTCCTACATGTAGAACATATAAATGAATAATATAATAAATGTGTAATAAAATATGATGCTGATTTGACCCTTTCGAGAAATTTCGCGTGAGAGGGGGGGGGGTGTAGAACAGCTGGGGAGTGACGCGGGAGAGAGACGCCATATTGAATTTAATGTGTGAACACTGGACTGAATTGTGTAATGTAATCAGGCGTTCTCAAAGGTCAGTTGGCATACATCAGTCTCAATCCAAAATTTATAAATTGCTGACACGTTCCTGCTGAAGAATTGGGATAAATAGTGCGGAAAGCCCTTACAATTCACCAACCAGGACGGAAAAAAAAGAGGACTTCAATGAATCCTTCCCAACAATACACCTTAGCTAAGTGATGCTTACCCATAATGTACAGTAGTGTTTGCATTGGCCATCGTAAAGTCTAACTGTTAGGGTAATGTTAGGGTGTGGTCCATCAGCATTGTCTTCCTGTGACAAATGGTAAGTTAATATGTATAAAATTTGTTCTGATATGGTTAGGAGAAAACCTTCCTTAGTCTCTGTAATTATAATGTGTGTACCCAGTAAGCCTAATCATATATAGTCAACACAACTTTAATTTACCAGAGTAGCTGGTTTTAATATTATTAATTTAATGTCAGGTCTAGCTTTTTGTGAGAGTTGTGAGGAAGTGGGCATCGATGGAGTTACAGTTCAGCGACCTACTGAACTGTAACTCACCCAAATTATTTGCAGCTAATAATTCGAGTAATGCCTTGTAAACCTTATGCAGGTAATTTGCTCACATAATAATAAGAATTCACAATAGGAATTGCGCTTAGTTTAAGGAAGCATGTTAATTTACTCAGCTAACAAGGTTACTCAATAATTTCTCCACTCTTCAGCTACTAGTTCTCTTCCTGCACCATTTCAGGTGTTCATGTCTTGTTTTCTCGCTCTGTTTGTGTAGTTATCCATTTATATATTCGTAATATTGTCTTATCAGTCACACAGGTATATATATACTAAGAAACCATACCACGGACGGGATTTGAACCCGCGGTCAGAGACTCTCTGACCGCGGGTTCAAATCCCGCCCGTGGTATGGTTTGTTTACAATCGTGTCATTACGATTTCGTGAGTCATATATACTAAGAGGTGTCTATCAATGTATGTATGACAAGAATTTTACTTTGATCCATATTTTTGGGGTAACAGTAGTTTTTGCTGGAGATGAACAGACGTGCAGTCTTCATGATACTCGTGTAGTCAATAGCCTTTCTCTAGTATAAAAAAAAAATAAAGGGGGTGGATCGGTAAACCAGAAGAAGGGCTAGGTCAGATGACCAAAAGTTCCAGTGACGGGTTATCATATGACTAAGATCCGAGTTAGGAGACACTTGTACTGTTCCCTGACGAATCTTACCTAACGTAACCGATAACCTTTAAACCTGGTAAACCAGAGCTTCTGGGCCCCCGGTTATATACATAGAGATGTGTGTATGTATGTATATAGGGATTAAATTGTCCTTGATGTTAGTTAACAGAGAAGTTGCAATCTTCTGATCCAGTGTAGTCTATAAGATTTAAACCTAAGAAACTAGCTACTGATGCTTTATGGTAAACTTGACAAAACCCGATTTTCTTAGAAGTTAATACACTGATATTAAAAAGATCATAAATATTTACGCGCTCATAGTTACATGTTTCTACATTTTGGGACTGATTTTTTTTTTTTTTACCAGTTTGATCTATATTTTAAAACTAATTTTCCTGCAATGTTCGCCGTTACCTTCTATTCAGAGTGTCAACAAACACGGTGACGTTGTTTACGTGTTGGACGACTCTTATTAACACTTGGTCAATAAAACATACTTGACAATATCAGATTTGAGTTGCACATAAACCCCCAAAGACGTGTTGATTTATTTTACTCACGAACTGGGACATTTATGTATAAATCTAGAGGTGAGAAAGATCTGCCAGTATACATATTTGTGTTATGTTTTTTAATGGATCTAGGAATAGTCGCCTCCAAAACTCTCTGACTTGGTCTCCTAACTAAAATAGAAATATTAGATAAAAGAGAAGTATTAATATTAATAAACATAGAAAAACTAGACAAATTTTAATGAATGTTAATAGATCTAATATTTTCCTGTCGTCTTATATGTTCACGAGCCTAGAAAAGACCAGCGATTCAGCCAAAATTCAAAATGCTTAACAGACTTCCGTTTCACATATATGAGAGGACCGTAGCACCTCCCTGTATGACTGGTATATTATTAATACTGTGGTCAGGCATTTTACTCTCAGATGTACAAGCAACACCTAACACCTGTCACTTTCTTCCACTAGTCACGAAGCAGAGGAATCTTCTTTCTACAAACAAGGTTCCAAGCTCTCTCCTGGATCCATTTCCGCCAAGGTGCTGCCCACAACATATGAGGTACTGGATCTTGATGAAGATATTCTCGACCTTCCATCCGCCTTCCACAAGAAGGGCTCCAAACTCTCTCCAGAATCCGCAGTCTCTCATATCCTTCCCTCTGCTTATGAAAAGGTCGACATTTAGCAACCCAGTTTACCGTAATCAATCATAATTATAAATTGTATACAATACCGACAAATTAATAGGTAAGACACATGTGCAACACTTATGTATAGTTATGGTTTAAGATATCTGCAGATATCTTTACTGTTGACAATAAAATTACCTAAGAGCTGCGTGGGCGTCTAACCTCAATCAAAATTACAAATATTTGAAGAAAAAACATTTTGTTTATATGTCGATATGAATATTTTCTACTCGGGTCTCATTTTTCAAATAATAAATATTTTGATATGATTCATTAATTTTATTAATAAGATCTTATAATCTCCCCTCATAATATCCTACATTATTCACGTTATTCTTACCGACTACATTATCTCTCAGCCAGGTAATATACATCACAACGTGTGTATCTCCCGGTCTGCATACACAGAGTTTATTTTAAGCCATATTTTAGGCATTAATTGTTGATTGGTGGTAAACGGTTTACAGTAGTATGCATATTAATTGGGAGAGTGACGAAATATGACATTTACTTGTTAAAATTAATGTTTATTTGAAAAATACACTGCAATGAAACGACAGATAATTGATTCAGTAAGAGATATTACTACCTTTTGCTTTTATAAGCATTGCTACACGCTTTGGCATAAAATTGACCAATGTTGAATACATTTTGGCAAATTCTTCGTCATCGTACCAGGTCCTAATAACACCAGTAATTAGCTTCACAGTTGAACAGTCCTATTTCGCAACCCTGCGTTTGGTTATTGCTCATAGATTCTTAATTGGGTTGAGGTCAGGAGAGTTTCCAGGTCAGTTTAGAATGCTTATCCCACTTTCTTCGAAGAATGTCAGTATTTTTCTGGAAGTGAGGCATAGAGCAAGATCCTGCTGCAAAATATCTTCTCCATCAGGAAAGCAAATGAGTTGCCAGGATTGCCTTGTATTTGTCACTGTTTGTTCCCTCAACAATAACAAGCCATTCAGGACCTTTACCAGTTAAAACTACCCCAAAACATTTTAGGTGGATGTTTTGGCACTTGTTGAATGTGTCCATTCCGAAGACGTTTCTCTTTGCTCTGTCTCGCAACCACTGATCTGTATCCATATACTTCAAAATGCACCACATCTGAAAATATAACTTTTGTCCATTCATCTGTCATCAATCCCTTATGATCGAGTGCCAACCGTAGCCATTTTTTCTTATCGGCTTTCTGGCAGTTCTGACAGCTTCACGGAGCTTTCGCCGAACAGTTGAAGAATCAACATTTGTGTCAGCTGAAGCCAAATCTGTCTGTAGATCTTTGCTGGTTTTCTTGGGATGCCTCACATTTTTTTCTTATGATAATCTTGTCATCGTGATACCTTGAAGAAACCCAACATGATTGGGTAGTCGAGGAAGTGCCATTTATGACTGCACAATGGTACCTGCTTGTGAAGTAGAATTTTAAGATTAAAATCCAAGGATTAAAGTATCCTTGGATGGTGGCTCGCAAGAGACATGCAATATTAATGACTCTTTGTGTAGTCAATAGTTATTTAGCCTAATTAACCAATCTAAAAAAAATATCTTTATGTTTATAGTACATTAAAAGGTATACGGGCCCAGCTGACATCGTGAAGTATATATAGAAAGCCCCTTTGTTTTTTTAACATTGGGGAAAATTAAACCTTTTTGCCCCAAATGCGACCCGCCGAGTGACTAACCCCCAAGTACCCATTTTACACCCATTTACCACCCGTCCCGGAGGAATTCCAACTCCAGACCTCAGTGTTCAGCAGAGTGCCTAGCGATGGAGATGCGGACACGGGTTTGCCACTTTAAAAAAACTTCCTTATGTGACCTTTATGGTTTAAAACAAAAGAGAATCTCAGTATAAAGTTCTTAGTTTTTTATTAGGGGTTCTTAAATGGAGATATCGGGGGTTGGGTAGAAAATTGTTGGATGGTAACATAATTGTCAACTGTGTAATGAAAATGGACCCCAGCCTCGCCTGTCTTAGCCTGGATGTCACGCCGCGAAGGGGGCAGAGGTAAAACCGTACCTGCGCATCCCGTAGCCCAAACAACTCAAGGCCTAAAAGGGATTCCTATCTAAAGCCAGGTGATACTAATATGCTTAAAACAGGGATACAACTATGCTGACAGCTCGGTTGTTCGTATGTCATCTCGCAACACTACTATTATGGGGCTGAACAGGAAGGCGGTTCGGGGCTGATTCTATACAATAAAAAATTTTCATATTAACTTAAAAATTAGTGGATGGTATCATAATGGATGTTAAAAAAAATGATTTTTTACGAAGGGATTTTTAACGTAATCACTTTTAACATAATGATTTTTAAAAACGAATGCATTACAAACATAAGAACAAACATTGAAAATATGGAGGGAATTGATCGATCGATCTGTTACATGCACTCTAGGATTTGAGGAAGAATAAAATATATATAAAAAGGAAAAAATTAACACAAAGGCATTGGTGCGCACTCAATCTTTACTGTCAAATTCTCAAATACGGAGGGACGTGAACCGAAAAAAAAAAAAAAAAAACAATCAGTTAAATCAAACTTTTGATAATTTCTTCATCTCGGACATCTAGTTAACGACTATGAACATTTAAACCCAATTCTGCGAGGGTGAGGTTTCATTGCAAAATGGTTACATTCTGGGGGATCGAATTCCTCTGCAAGGGCTAACCATGCCTTATGAGGGGATCTGAAGGTATCTACAAAAAAATTGGGGGTTTCCTTATTTTGTCGGTACGAAAGGAGAAAACTACTTTTCAGGTTGGTTTCTGAAAAATTTTGAGGTAGGGGTTTTACAGAGCAAGGGATTTTCAGCATCTGTCACATTGTCTGGGTGGCAATATCATAAAACATCGCATATAATTTCTTTTGATCTAAATGCTTTTTCTTTGTACTTGCCAGAAAATTTTCTTAACCTTAATTATTCCAGAGAATGTTCTAAATCGATAAGGCCCGACAAATTTTTGATCGGCTTAGCTTTTCGGTTTTTGTTGAATTTGTCGCATTACTCTTGAACCTATTTTTATTTTGATGGCTTAGCACGCTATTTTTTATTAGTAAATTTGCTTTTGATTTGTGAAGTTTCCGGATTCTTCTAAAAACACTTTGAGCCATGCGGGTCGATTGCTACAAAATCATAGGGTTGTAATTGGTTTAGTGGAATAAAACAACTCTTAGGGAAAATGCTTGTTTCCCCATAAAATGCATAATGTGGGTACACCACGGAAGCTTGTAACGAATTTATGGCACTTTGGGAAAATCGGGTATGACTTATCCCATTTTAATTTTGGGGTTTGATAGTGGCTTCAGGACATCAAGTACTTTTTATTGGTTCTTTCGGCAACCCATTGCTGAGGATGTGAGGAAACAAGGTGGTTTTTTAAGTCTTGTATAAAGTACAAATTTTAAAGAAATTCATTACAGAATTCACCCCCATTATTGTTACAAAGGGATTTTGGGGGTGGTATGCCTGCAATAATGCTTTTTAAACACTTTAGCTACTGTCTCTGCAGTCTTATCTGCAATGGGAAAACTAAACAATATTGGGAAATGTCTACCATAAACACAGATGTTTGTTGCCTTGGGGGGAACTTTTAAAAAAGGGGTTAACAATAAAGGGGCAACTCTTTCCCCCGGTTCGCTAGGTTGGGTACTTTGGGTTTGGATTGGGACCATTGACTTCCCTTTAAGTTGCATACAGACACTACATTTCTAACTCCCCGAAATGTCATTGCCATAGGGTGGCCAAAATATTTCATTTGGCTTTTTTCCAAAAACGATCCATCCAGGGTGTGAAAAACCCGGGTCATCTGAACTAGCTGTGATACTTCATAGTACTGGGGAAATTTATAACTGGTAAACTCTTCTATTGGAGTCCCCAACTGGGCTGTTCGATACAGTAATTTTTGGGGCTCATTCAAAGTCACTAATGGTGGGTGGTTTACAGTCAGATAAGATCTTCCGGGGAAGGAATCAATCACCCAGACGACTGGGATCGTTTTTTGGGGTTTTTGAAATTCGACAGTAAATGGAGGATCTGCGTAACTCCTAACGTGTCCGATAAAGCTCTGTGCTCATTGACTTGCCAGGTAAATGTTCAAAAGTGGGGAAACTCTTGGATAGTAAAGGGTCATTTGGTAAACTTCCCAGTAGGCTTTTTGTCTGGAATAAAGGTATCAGGGCGCAGGGTTGTCAAGACATGAAGGGGGGGTACGGGTAAAAAAGTCTGGGGAAGTGCTTTAAAGACCATAATTTGGGTAAAGCTTCTTGCCCTTACTGTATAATTCGTTAGCCTTCGAAAGGGACTCGGCTAGAAAATGCAACTGCGTTGTACTTGCCATGGGTCTTTTGAGCTAGTAACCCTATCCCCAATTTAAAAATGCATCAGTTGTAAATAGAAAGGCTTAAAAAAATCGGGGAATTTTCAAAATGGGAGTAGATGTTAGCTTTTTTTTTAAATTTTTGGGGAATGTTTTTTTCTTGAGGGAAAGGTCCAAACAAAAGTCTTTCTTAAGCTTTTCATTGGGAGCCAGCTATGGAAAAAAAATTTGGAATAAAGATTTAAAAACCCTGCAAAAGCCCAAAAAGGGAAATTTTGGGCATCGATTTTGGGATTTGGGAAAATTTATTCTGCTTTACTTTATTTTGATCAGTCGTAACCCCTTTGGAGTGTACGTGCCCCAGAAACTTAATTTTGTCTGAAAAATTGAATTTGGACAGTTTGATATTTAAATTGGTTCTTCAAGCTTGCCAAGACTTATCAAGTCTTTTAGGTGTGGTCCCGTCTTCGGACATACGTTTTACGTCATCTAAGTCCCCCCCAAAAGGCTTTACCTAAAAGACCTTAAAGATTTTGGTCATGAGTCTAGAGAACGTGTAGGAATGACATAATCCAAACGCCATATGGGGGAAGTGATAATGACCTGGGGGAGGGGGAGAATGCATTTAAAAACCTTTTGGCTGTCCTCGTAAAGAGGGACTTGCCAAAACCCTTGTAACAAGCCCGGGGTTTTGGAAGACTCTGTTTCCCGATTTTGCAAAAAAATCACCTAGTCGGGAATGGAAGCGATCTGGAAGGGTTTTCGATTAAAAACCTCCAAAAGTCAATCCCGGGGCGCCAAGTCCCTCCTTCTTAGGCACTGGGATAAAGGGTGCATTCCAGGTGAATTTGCATGTGCAAAAAATCCATCTTGAGCATCTGATTGATCAATTCCTCTGCACAGCAACGGGGAAATGGGGCTTCTGTCGCGGTAATAGATGGGT